AGGGTTTAGGGTTTAGGGTTTAGGGTTTAGGGTTTAGGGTTTAGGGTTCGCAGCGAAGGAGGAAGGAGTGTTGCGTGATCTTGAAGAGCTTACTCTTTATTCATTGGGCGATGAACGTAAACCCTCGAAGGCCCAGAGAAGGCGACAAAAAAAAGATCAACTGCAGCGAGAAAGAGAGCGAATTCTAGATGAAGCAGCAGGTAGGGTTTAGGGTTTAGGGTTTAGGGTTTAGGGTTTGGGGTTTGGGGTTTAGGGTTTAGGGTTTAGGATTTAGGGTATAGGGTGTAGGCGTTGGGGTTCAAATCCGCAACATTTCCCACAGGAACTTTTGCTGCTGCTGCTGCTGCTATGGCTGCTGCTGCTGTTGCTGTTGCTGTTTGTGCTGCTGTTGCGGCTGCTGCTGCTGCTGCTGCTGCTGCTGCTTAGCTGCTGGTAGTGCGGGTGAGGCGGAGTGGAACTTGTTAGCGTCGCATTTAGAGAAAGAGGGTCTGATGATTTATTCAATTCCAGGAGACGGAGACTGTCTCTTCAGGTAGGGTTTAGGGTTTAGGGTTTAGGGTTTAGGGTTTAGGGTTTGGGGGTTTGCGGAGATGGAGAGGTGGCTTCTCTCCCTCCTTGTCCTTCACTGACAAGCGAAGCTGCCTCGCAGACACGACCCAACCAAAGGCTTTAGGGTTTAGGGTTTAGGGTTTAGGGTTGAGGGCTTAGGGTTTAGGGTTTAGGGTTTAGGGTTTAGGGTTTGGGTGTACAGGTCGCTCGTTCACCAGCTGCAGCAGATAAATGCAAAGGAAGGGGTTTGGGGTGTACGCGAGTTGAGGGCAGCGATTGCCGAAACCCTAAAAAGAAATAGACAGACATTTATTACTTTTCTTGATGAACAACACCAAGAAGAAACAGGTCTGCTGCTGCTGCTGCTGCTGCTGCTGCTGCTGCTAGTGCTGCTGCTGCTGTTGCTGATAGTGCTGCTGCTAGTGCTGCTAGTGCTGTTGCTGCTGCTGCTAGTGCTGCTGCTAGCGCTGTTGCTGCTGCTGATAGTGCTGCTGCTGCTGCTAGTGCTGCTGATAGTGCTTCTGCTGCTGATGCTGCTGCTGATGCTGCTGCTAGTGCTGCTGCTGTTGTTGTTGTTGTGAGCGGTTTTGCTGCGATTGTGTCTCCTTTCTGCAGCGTATGAGGCTTTTTGTGAAAACATCCGAAACAGCAATGACTGGGGGTGCGGCATCAAAATCAGGGTTTAGGGTTTAGGGTTTAGGGTTTAGGTGGTTACGTGTGTAGCTGCAGTGCAAGCAGCGGTTTCAGTAACGACGGGCTGTAAGGGTTTAGGGCTTTCTTATAAATCAAGGATTTAGGCTGAAGGGTTCGTCCGTTTTGGTGGTTTAGGGTTTAGGGTTTAGGGTTTAGGGTTTAGGGTTTGCGGGTTCAGGGGCGAAATTGAAATCCAAGCCGCTTCTCAGCTGCTTCATCGACAGATAATTGTTTACGTAGGGGGAGACCCCGTAACCGTTCTCAACTACGTAAACCCTAAACCCTAAACCCTAAACCCTAAACCCTAGGGGGCGTTCTCCCTCCCTGCAAACCCTAAACCCTAATTCACTCAGTGCATGCTGAAGAAGCCTTTTACTTCAGCCATTACGACTTGGCTGCTTCATCTTGTCTCTCTTGAAGGTGTAGGGTTTAGGGTTTTCTAGGATATTTTAGGGTTTTTAAGGGTCTCTTAGGGTTTAGGGTTTAGGGTTTAGGGTTTAGGGTTTGGGTTTGTTGGCTGCAGGGGGAGGAATTTGCAGGGGCTGCACCACTGCGGCTGACTTTTCATCGCTCTCTTCTTTCTTCTGGGGCTCATTATAACTCTGTTGTTAAATTCATTAAAACAAATGCAGATAACTTTCGTGTAGTGAGTGCAGCAGCAGCAGCAGCAGCAGCAGCAACAGCAGCAGCAGCTGGAGGAGCAGCAGCAATAGGGTAGCAGCGGCAGCAGCACCAACAGCAGCTAATGCAGCAGCAGCGGAAGCAGCAGCATCAGCAGCAGCAGCGACATAAGCATTCGCTGTTGTAGCAGCCCCACACGCTGGAGCAGCAGCAGCTGCTGCTGCTGATTCTGCTTCTGCAGCTGTTGCTGCTGCAGCAGAATATATCCTGCGTATCTGTCTTAGCAGTTGATGCTTGGGGCTGCTTCTTTTTGCGGTGTACGTACACCTCATTGGCTATTATATTGAAGAGATGTTCTTGTTTATTCAAATATGTAATTACTACTCGTCTCTCTCCTTCTTCAGGTGTCTAGGGTTTAGGGTTTAGGGTTTAGGGTTTAGGGTTTAATGTTCAGGAATTTCGGCTAGGGGTTTGGGGTTCAGGGTTTGGGGTTTAAGAATAAGGGTTTAGGGTTTGGGGTGTAGAGTTTATTTTATATCAAGTATGAGAGTTTAGGGTTTAGGGTTTGGCGGTTAAGAACATGGGTTTGAGAGCTCAGGGTTTAGGGTTTAGGGTTTAGGGTTTATTTTAAACCAACTATGAGGGTTTAGGGTTTAGGGATAAGTTTTTAGGGTTTACAGTTTATTCTAAGTAAAGCATTAGTTTAAATTAAATTAAATTAACTTTTTTAATTCAATTAAAAAATTAGTTAATTAAACTAAATTAAATTAAATAACAAAATCAAATTAAGTAATTAAATTAAATTAACTAATTAAATTAAGTTGAATTAAATAATTAAATTAAATAAAATAATTAAATTAGATGAAGTTAACTAATTAAATTAAATTAGATTAAATTGAATAATTAAATTAATTAGATGTGGACTGACGGGGAATTGAACCCCGGACCTTTTGCATGCGAAGCAAACGTGATACCCCTACACCATCAGCCCTAACTTTTCTTGCTTTTCTTTGTATAAATTAATTTATTTTAACTGTTTAATTGTTTTAAATAATAATATTATTAATAATAATAAAGAAGAGGATGTAATTAAAAGACTTTACTGTGGTTTTAATTGAATAAAGATATAAGGGTTTAAAGTTACATATAATTAATCTTATAATAAACATATATATATATGTAAATATATATTTAGTTATTGGTGTTGCTCTCAGCAAGAAAAAGAATAAGGGTAATTCTATAGTGTTTAATTAATTTAATAGATTTGTTTTTAATATATTTAAATATTATTTATTTGAAAAGAAAAATATCTATATAAATATACTTTAACCTCTTAAACCCATCGATCTGCTGCCTCTGTGGGTACTCTCTGAGTCTTTTTGTTTATTTTTTGCATGCATTTGAGGTGTACATACACCTCAAATGCATGCAAAGTATTTAATTTAAATTGTTTAATTGTTTATTTATTTATTTATTTGTTTCTTTACTCAGATTCCCTCCTACCCAAGCCCCTCTGGTGTTGCTGCTGTTGCTGTTGTGTTGCTGCTGCAGCAGCAGATCGTACACCCTAAAGCATTTTTCTTTATTTTATTTTTTATTATTAATTATATTATTCTTTTTTTTCTTTTTCTCGCTTTGTTTGGTTTTATATACGCAAATGAAGACCTCATAATTGCCGCCTAGCTGCAAAGAAGTATCGACAGGGGCCTAAGACCTCCAGTTCCCTATGGAGCCCCAAACCCTAAACCCTAAACCCTAAACCCTAAACCCTAAACCCTAAACCCTAAACCCTAAACCCTAAACCTTCGTTTTTCTCGACTCAACAGTGGGATTTCAGCGGAGTTTGCTCCTCAGGAGTCTCTGCTTTCTTGCTCGCTGGAATGAGTCGCTCTATAGAGCGCTGCAGACTCCTTCAAACCCTAAACCCTAAACCCTAAACCCTAGTGAGCATAAAGCAGGGTTTTAGGTGCTGCTGCTGCAGCGTTTGCTGCAATGAACTGCAGCAGCAGCAGCAATACTGGGGCCCCCCAGGGGCCCCTCAGGAGGAGGGGTTTATATATCCGCTGTAGAAGAGCTGCCTATACACCGCAGTTCTCTTTGCTATGGAGGCTGTCTCTTCTTTGTCTTTGTCTCCTTCTTGCAAGCTCCTCCTGTCTCCTAGGAGCTGCTGCTACTGCAACAACAGCAGCAGCAACAGCAGCAGCAGACAAAACCACCACAGGGAATTGGAAGGGCAGCACAAACAGCGAGCTTGTCACAGTACTTCTAACCCTAAACCCTAAACCCTAAACCCTAAACCCTAAACCCTAGATCACTGGCGTATCTGTAGGACCTTATACATCTTTTATCATGCTTATTTGTTGTTCAGCCTTGCGAGTAGAGGGTTTATGGTTTAGGGTTTCGAGTTAAGGGTCTAGGGCCTAGGGCCTAGGGCCTAGGGTTTAGGGTTTAGGGTTTAGGGTTTGTTGTTGTTTGCGTTTAGGTCTGCGTGTCTATTCCGCTTTTTGCTGCTGGTGAGGAGACACACGGTAGCGTCTCTTTATTACAGCCTTCTCTTTGGGGGCCCTCTTCAAAGATGATTAAAATAAAGGTTGCTGCTGCAACACCAGCGAAAGAGCTGCTGCTAATGCTGCTGACAATGCACACAGCTGTCTCCTCAGATGTGCTGCAGCAGTTCCGCCAGCAGCAGCAGCAGCAGCAGCAGCAGCAACAGCAACAGTTGCTGCTAACAGCACTTGAACAGAACCCAGAGCTGCGAGGAAATATTGATTTGCTGCTGAAGGAGGCAGCTAACTGCAGCAGCAGCAGCAGCAGCAGCAGGGTCAGCAGCTGGACCAGGAGGAGCAGCAGAAGAAGAAGGAGCAGCAGCAGCAGCAGCAGCAGCAGCATCACCGATGTTCTACCCGAACGAATGCATGCAGTTGCTGCTGCTGCTGCTGCACTCTCTACTTCTTCTTTACCTCAGGTGTATGCATCTTCTCTCTTAAGCCGTTTTACGTTTGCTGCTGGAGACAGAAAAATAAGGGTATCGAAGCCCCGCCGCAGCAGCAGCAGCAGCAGCAGCAGCATCAGGAGCAGCAGCAGCAGCAGCAAAGCAAGACACGAACTTAAGAAAGACGCTGCAGCAGGAAGCAGCACAGACAGACGAAAAGCAGCAAAAAGAGAGAGAAGAACAGCGAGGAGACAGCAAATTCAATCTGCTGCTGTTGGAGGCACACGCAGCAGCAGCAGCAGCAGCAGCAGCACAAAGAGAGCAGCAAACAAAGACAAAGGAGACAAAGAAAAAGACAGACATAAAGAGACAGATAAAAATAAGGAGACAGATAAAAATAAGGAGACAGATAAAAATAAAGAGACAGATAAAGATAAAGAGACAGATAAAGATAAGGAGACAGATAAAGAGACAGATAAAGAGACAGATAAAGAGACAGACAAAGATAAGGAGACAGATATAGATAAAGAGACAGATAATGATATAGATAAAGATAAGGAGACAGATATAGATAAAGATGTAGATAAAGATATAGATAAGGAGACAGATAAAGATATAGACAAAGATATAGATAAAGATGTAGATATAGATAAAGATGTAGATAAAGAGATAGATGAAGAGACAGATAAAGATACAGATAAGGAGACAGATAAAGATACAGATAAAGAGACAGATAAAGAGACAGATAAAGAGACAGATAAAGAGACAGATAAAGATACAGATAAAGAGACAGATAAAGAGACAGACCCAGAAGGAGACAGTGAAGGCGAAGACAAAGATAGAGAGAAAGATAAAGATAAAGAGAGAGATAAAGGGACAGACAAAGAGACAGCAAGGGAGACAGATAAAGAAAGAGACAAAGATATGGATACAGAGAGAGAGACAGAGATAGATAAAGAGACAGAAACAGAGAAGTATAAAGAAAAAGAAGACAGCAGCGATAAAGAAGGAGACAGCGATACAGAGAGAGATAAAAAGAGAGATAAGCAAAAGGAGACAGACAAAACAAATAATGAAGACAACGAACTAATAAATACTGTAGGTGTGCAAATCAAAGAAGGCAGGAAAGCCGTATCTAAGAACAGAGACAAAAAAAGAGATAAAAAAAGAGACAGAGACAGAGACAGAGACAGAGACAGAGACAGAGACAGATCAAGAAGCAAACATAGAGACAGAGATAAAGATAAAGACAGAGGAGACAGAGACAGAGAAGATAGCGGGTCTAAGAAGCTGTATCGTAAAGCACTGGAGGATAATAAAAAAATAAATAAACAAAGACATTCTTACAACAAACAACAACAAGAACAAGACGTTTGTCTCTCCGAGCTGCTAAGCGATGCATGCACAGCCAAACAGCTCTCAGCTCTTCCTATACAGCTCGCCCTCAGTGATACTCAAACCCCCCAGGTAAACCCTAAACCCTAAACCCTAAACCCTAATGAGATACCCTGAAATCTTGTTGTATAACTCGCCCGCATTGATACTCAGCCCTCACCTGTAAACCCTAAACCCTAAACCCTAAACCCTAACACGCTACCCTAAACCCAATTTAATTCGCCTTCTTTGATAGCCAAACCCAACAATAAACCCCAAACGCTAAACCCTAAAACAGAAGCTTTAAACCCTAGATCAGAAGAAACCCTAAACCCTAAACCGTTGACCGCACAACAGAAGCTGCAGCACAGTGTGTGATGCATATGTCTCAGTGGAGAGTGTCGTTACCTCCTGTGGGTCTAACTAGGGTTTAGGGTTTAGGGTTTAGGGTTTAGGGTTTAGGGTTTGTGTGCGCAGAAGGACTTGCTGGGCGAGGCATTGGCGCTGTGGCAGGATCAGGTGTCTGCGCAGCTTCTGCTGTCTCTGCAGCTAGATAAGAGACAAACAATAGACCTTTCAGGAAGAATCATCAATGTATGTACAACAGCAGCAGCAGCAGCAGTTGCAGCAGCAGCAGCAGCAGCAACTGGTGCTGATACTGCTGCTGCTGGCGTTTCATTTATTGTTAATGCTGCTGCTGATGCTGCTTCTACTGCTGCTGCTACTGCTACTACTACTGCTGCTGCTGCTAGCGCTCATGCTGCTGCTCTCGCTGGGGCTGCTGCTGCTGCTGCTGCTGCTGATGCTGCTGCTGCTGATGGTCTTGCTGCTGCGAAGTGCCTCGCTATTTATCCCTTTGCTGCTGCTGATGCTGCTTGTTTTGCGTCTGCCGCCTTGGCGCTGCGTTGAGCTATGCACGGCGTATGTCAAGGGTTTAGGGTTTAGGGTTTAGGGTTTGGGGTGTATGCGCAGGTGGAGGTGTTTTTACTGAGCCCAGCGCATTCTTCTTTAGTTTTGTCTGTCCCGTCTGATATGTCTCTCTCTGTCTTTCTTTATAATTTTTTTTCTTTAGCAACAAATGCTCCTGTTGCTGACCCTGCTGCGGATCCTGCTGCAGCAACAGCAGCAGCAACAGCAGCAGCAGCAGCAGCAGCAGCATTCCTTGATGACAACAACCCCGATCTTTATGCTACGTCATTCGAACGAAGGAGACTGCAAGGAGACATGCGTATTAAAGATGCAGCAAAAGCAGGCATCGTTGTGCATGTAAGGACTGCTGCTGTTGCTGCCGCTGCTGTTGCTGCTGCTGCTGTTGCTGCTGCTGCTGCTGTTGCTGCTGCTGTTGCTGCTGTTGTTGTTGCTGCTGGTATTGCTGTTTGTGCTGCAGAAGCCCTTCAGTGTGACATGGGCTGTATCTGCAGCATCTGACCTCCAAACCCTAAACCCTAAACCCTAAACCCTAAACCCTCGAGTGTGCACTTGTGTGTATGTTTGTACACCAGGCACCTGAGGAGTCTCCTTTGCGTGTGTGGCTGCTGTCTCTAAATAAAACATCTGTTTATTGTTTTGTATGCAAAGCAAAACAGAAAGGAGACAGCCAAATAACGGAGGCTAAGAGACCTCTGATTGTCTCTTCTTTGCTTGTCTTCAATATTTGTGTATATACACCCCAAGAAGAACACCAACACATACCTCCCTACTTGCATGCAGAAACGCGTGAGCCTGCTGCTGCTGCTGCTGCTGCTGCTGCTGTTGCTGTTGCTGTTGCTGTGGCTGTTGCTGTTGCTGTGGCTGTTGCTGTTGCTGTTGCTGGTGCTGTGGCTGTTGCTGTTGCTGTTGCTGTGGCTGTTGCTGTTGCTGCTGCTGCTTAAGCCCCTTCTGCTGTCATTGCTGTTGCTGCTGTTACTGCCTCTGCTGCTGCTGCTGCTGCTTTAGCTGCTGCTTAAGCCCCTGCTGAGGCTGCAGCTGTTGCTGCTGCTGCTGCTTATTGGCTGATACCTCCGTTGCTCTTACTGCAGCAGGTGGTGCCTCTGCGCTGGCTGCAGCAGCAGCAGCAGCAGCAGCAGCAGCAGCAGCAGCAGCAGCAGCAGCAGCAGCTCCTGCTGCTGCTGCTGCATCTGCTTGCATGCGTGAGTTGCGGTGTATGTGCAGCTAATTTGTTTGGTGGTCGCATAAAAATTGCAAACTGCAAGTTGAGACATTTCCTTCTCTCGGGTCTCCCCATAGACACCCCAGGGTCCGCACCCCTAAACCCTAAACCCTAAACCCTAAACCCTAAACCCTAAACCCTAAACCCTTATAACTAAACCCTAAGCCCGAAACCCTAAAAACTAAACCCTAGACCCTAATTTTAGATTACTTGATTTCATCGAGTATACTGGATATCTGTTTCGAGCTTTCTGATTCGGTTTTAGGGTTTAGGGTTTAGGGTTTAGGGTTTTGTGTGTGTTGGTGTGTGTAGGGTGTCTCTGCGTGGTTTTCTGCTGTCTAGAGCGGGTTTGTCTCCTTCAGCAGGTGTCTCCTTTTTTATTTGCATCTCTGCGGGTGCTGCTGACTGCCAGCCTCTGGACTGGGAAGAAGAGCAGGGCAGCTTTCAGGAGACAGCAGCAGCAGGAAGCAGCAGCAGCAGCAAACAGCAACTACAACGGCAGCAGCAGCAGCAGGGGGGCCCTGCTGCTGCAGAAGGAGACATCACCAGCAGCAGCAGCAGCAGCAGCAGCAACCAGCCACTGGGGCTAGTACGTCGTTTGCTGCTTGCTGCAGCTGAGGGATCCACTATCTATATTTTTAAACATGTAAGATAACAAGCTGTGTTGCTGTTGCTGCTGCTTCTGCTGCTGCTGCTGCTTCTGATGCTTCTGCTGCTGCTGCTTCTGATGCCTTTGCTGCTGCTGCTCCTGCTGCTGCTTCTGATGCTTCTGCTGTTGCTTCTGCTGCTGCTGCCTCTGCTGCTGCTGCATCTGCTTCTGGTGTTGCTGTTGTGTTTTCTGCTGCTGTTGCTGTTTCTGCTGCTGTTACTGGTGCTGCTTTGCTGTTGGTTATTCTTCTGCTGCTATATTTGCTGCTGTTGCTGCTGCTGCTGCTGTTTGTTGTTGCTGTTTGCTGCTGCAGGAGGGTGTACCTTTACCTGCTGCAGCGCTGTCTCCGCTGGGCTCTCAGCATTTGTTTTATTTAGCTTCTACAGCAGCAGAAGGGTTTAACAAGGAGACAGGAGGAGACAGCAGCAGCGATGTGTCTCCTTTGCTGTCTCTTTATCTACTTGTAGGGCCCAAAAGACACCCGTCAGGCAGCAGTGTGCTGCTGCAGCTGAATGATGTACACCCTAAAATGCTGCAGGAAGAGCTGCTGCTGCGCATTGCTTGGCAGCGCTTGCATGCACCTCTAATGAAGCCTTTGAAAGACTTCAGGATCTGTTATCAGCTGCCTCCTCCTCCTCCTCCCGCATCTGCGGCTGCTGCTGCTGCTGCTGCTGCTGCTGCTGCTGATGGTCTTGGTGCTGCTGCTGCTCCTCCTATGCCTTCCGGTGCTGCAGCAAGTGCAGCAGCTGCTGCTGCTGCAGTCGCTGGCTTGACTGCAGCAGGAGCAACAGCAGCAGCTGCTGCTGCTTCTGCTGCTGGAGAGGCGCTTGACGAGGACGCTGCAGGAAGCACAGCAGCAGCAGCAGCAGCAGCTGCTGCTGCTGCTGCTGCTGCTGCAGGAGACGCATTAAACCGGTGCATCAGCCTGTCTCCTGGGAGCTCTGTTGAGGAGTTGCTATTAGCAGCAAACGCAGCAGGAGGGCAGCTGTCTCTTCTACCTGTTTTTGAAGCTGAAGCTGAGGAGACACCCGAAATAGAAGTAATAAGGAGACAGCAGCAAGAAAGACAAAGACGAAGCCATATTGTTTGCTTCCCTCCTTATCTCTCAATGCAAGATAATACTGTTAGTGTACGTACACCACATTCTTTATTACGCACATGAAGACTTCTTTAACAACAGAAGGAGACAACATCTGCTTGCTGCTGCAGCGTCTGCTCTAATTGCTGCTGTCTCCTTTCTATATACACTCCACCGCTAACAGCAGACAGGTGCAGCAGCTGCAGTCGTAGTGCTGCGTTCAGGTGTATATACACAGTTTTATGCAGCAACTCATTTACATGTCCTTCTGCTGTTGCTGCTACTGCTGCTGCTCTTGCTGCTGCTCTTGGTTTTCCTGCTGTTGTTGCTGCTGTCGCTGTTGCTGCTGCTGCTGTTGCTCTTGCTGCTGCTGTTGGTTTTCCTGCTGTTGCTGCTGCTGTCGCTGTTGCTGTTGTTGTTGCTGCTGCTGCTGCTGCTGCTGCTGCTGCAGGTGACGATGGCTCTTCCTTCAGGGGGTGTCTTTACAGTGGTGAATGTTCCTGCTGCTGCTCCTGTCTCTTCTTTGATGCATTCAATTCGTTTATTGATTTCTTATTCAAGAGAGAGACTAATAAAACTGCCTACAGGTGTAACAGCAGAAGCATTAGTCTTAGTCTCTTCAAGACAGCAGCAGCTGCTGCCGCAGGAGACGCCTGCTTGGCGTCTACGCTGCTTAGAGGGGGACGAGGAGACACCCGAGCAGCAGAAAGAAAAACATAACAAGTCCGATGCAGCAATTGATAAAGCAATTAAAGCTATTCAGCATGCATGCAAAGAAAGAGACGCCCCAACGATGCTGCAGTTCAAGGTAAGCCAATCTCCCTGCTGCTGCTGCTGCTGCTGCTGCTGCTGCTGCTCACGTTGATAATGATATTGTTGTTGTTGCTGCTGCTGCTTATAATGCTAATGATGTTGCTGCTGCCATACCTGCTGCAGAAGTTGCTGATGCTTGTGTTTTTTTTGCTGCGGAAATTGCTGCTGCTGCTGCTGCTGCTGCTGTTCGTTGTGGAGCTGCACCTGCAGCAGCAGCAGCAACAGCAATAGCAACAGCAGCAGGAGCAAGAGCATGAATGTTTTGTTTTGTTTTGCTGCTTTATCTATCTTTGTTTTCAGTATAGGCCCTTCGATAACTCCGAGTTTTGTCTCCGCATGCAACCCCTAAGAGACCGAGTCTTTGATTTTTCTCGAGCAGAGTTAAGCGGCAAAGCAAAAGGAGACAGAGACAGAGACATTTAATTTGTTATTATATTTCTTTTGCTGCTGCAACTCTTCTCTGGCTTTCTTCTCTATGTTTATCTTCATGGTTTGCAGCAAACATTTTGCTCGATATTATGCTTTAGGGTTTAAATTATGTTATGCATAAATAAATAATTATATATATATGTATATATAATGCATAGATATATATATATATATTTATTTATTTATTTATATAATTATTCATATATATATATGTATGTATATCTATGTATATCTATGTATATGTGCATGCATATATATATATATATATATACATATATGAATGCATATATATATATATATATATCTGCATACACATATATGTATATAATATATATATATATATACATATGTATATATATATATATATTATATATATATTATTAATATATGCTGTTCGGTTCGTCTGTTTGGCGGATGTAAGTAATGAATGACTCAGAGAAAACCGAGCAAAAGAAATTTCTCTTGAAGGAAATATTGAAAGAAATATGCATTTTATATTTTTTATAAAATGCACTTTGTTCGATTGTCTCTTTATTATTTTTTAAGTGTTATACAATGATATATCTTCTGTTGTATATTCAGTATATCCATCATATATATACTAAGCCGCATGCTATATATATATGCATATATATATATTTAATTGCTGCTCCAGAGCAAAAGCGCCTTTCATAGAATTAGGGCTTTTGTTGCTGCGCATGCATGCATGCATGCACTTCCTTTGGAGCCTGGATTCTCAGGTGTACGTACACCTCCGCATTCTATCTGGGTGCTGCAGTTCGCTGCAAATAAGCAAAATGCAGCAATCTGAAAATGAATATACCTATGAACCCAACGAAATGATTGGCGGATGCACAGTTGCACACTGTTGCTGCTGCTGCTGCTGCTGCTGCTGCTCGTATGGTAGACGCAGCAGCATATTGCAGCTTTGATAAGGATAGACGTTTTATATTAAAATTTTAATCCTAAGGTTTTCTGTACAGGAGCTGCCTCCTCTACCAGATAGAAAGGAAGTAACACATATTTAGGCTTGTTATCGTTTAGAGGTCTCTTGCATGCATTTTCTGCATGCAAATGCATGCAAAAGCTGCATCAACAGCCCCAAAGAGCGAAGGAATTCATCTATGTATTCAAATGACTATACACTATAGAAAATGCAATATTAATCCGTGTAGTCGTTGAGCTGCCGCTGAGCAGAGACACAAAATAAAAGATAGGGATATGCATGAAAAAGGCAGAAAAGAATTCGTATGCAAATTAAATTGAATTTGTTCTCGCGATGAATCTGCATGCAAATTAAATGGAAGCTAAACTCAAGGGAATTTGCATGCAAATTAAATTTGCATGCAAATTAGCATCAACCTGAGTTTGCATGCAAATTTAATCTGCATGCAAATTAAATTTGCATGCAAAATGAGTTCATGTTTGAATATCAATATATATACAAAAGGAATTTGTATGCAAACTGAACGAATTAGTACATAAAATTCAGAATTCAACTTGGATTTCGAAATTGAATTCGTATTCTGAAATTGAATTTGCATGCAAACCCAGATTGAGAAAGTACATTTTATTGAAGTTAAATGGAAATGTACCTCAAATTAAATTTGAATTTATATTTCAATTGAATCTAAAATTGAATATTCAATTTAAACAATATTTCCACATATGTCCCACAAGAGATGATTCGGTGGAGCGATCCTCCGGCGGTGGATCTGGAGTTGAAATACATGAAAATTCTTTTTATTTTCTTTAATTTATTCTATTTATATTATTAAATAAAATATATTTACTAAAAAATTTGGGTTAATATCGTTTAATCGAAGAGCAAACGGCGCTCGTACTCTGATGCGCTTGGCGCGTGTCGTCAGCGTTAACAACATGAACGACAGATAAGCCATCCTCTTCTGAAAGTTTTTTGCGTTAATTTGTTGAAATTGTATATTTTATTAATTGTTTAGTTCATTTTATATTGATAGTTTGCCCAAAAAGGCCAATTAAAAAGCGAATTCCTCGTCGCAGTTCTTCATGCGGGATGTCTACACACACCGACGCAGTAGTCGACGGACCGGGCAGGCGAAGCCACCATCGTGCAGACATTTAGTTTTCTGAATACCGGCGGGTAAAAACCAAAAACAAAGGAAAAAAATTCATTTCTACGGTTTTTTATTACATATTTTCAACATTTCGAAGTAACTTCTCGACATAGTTGAATTTATCGCACGTTTGCAAACAGCGTACACAGACTTGCTCGGCAGCAGAAAACCGTCACTGCAGAAACACCCGAGAGAAACTTCGCCTTTTTCTGCTATCTACTAAACTTATTTGTGTTATTGTTCCTTTTTATTCAAGAGAAATTGCATAGGAAGAAGATTCGTCCTTCACTGCGTATGGTGCTCCTGGTTTGATGGAAGGAGGGAAGTAATCGACAGGAAACAGCATCAGGTCAGGTGCTCTTCCGTTGCAAACTTCGGTTTATTTACTTAAAATTTACTCTTTTTTTAGTTTTTTCTTTAAAATTTCAGCTAAATAACCCACGTACAGCCGGAGTGAGCCCTCCCTCTCCCTCTGATTACAAATGATATATGCTGTGGTTGGCGGCTCCGCCGTCTTTGAAGACTTTTTCTTTTGAAACTGTGCATGCATGCGTTGTATTCAGAAAGGTGCAGCTGATTGCATGCAACGCCCGCATGCATGCAACGCTACACTTCATTACCAGTGTTGTTACTGCGACTTGTATTTATTTGTTTTTCTGCAGAGTTCAAGAAGGCGCCGAGATGGATGTAGACACCCCTTCTCTTTCCCCAAAGAAAAAAGAAAAAACTGCTGTCACCTTCGCATGCAAAACCTTCGATAAGCCAAGCGATACAGGTAAGGAGATAACAGCTTCACGGACTCGAACCATAAACCCCAAACCCTAAACCCTAAACCCTAAACCCTAAACCTGTGACAGACCCCTCTAGGACCCTGGTCTATACATACATACATACATACATACATACATACATACATACATACATACATACATACATACATACATACATATATACATATATGTATATATATATATATATATTTATACGTATATGCATATATATGAACATAGAAACAGATAAAATGTGTACATTGAATAGTATTATATATACACATTATTTTCCTGTCCTCTAAATGATTAAAGCAAAAGAAGGAGAGACACCGCTGGAGGCAGCAACAGATAACTCTGAAGAAGAATTTGACTGCCCTTCTCGCATCAACCGCAGGCGCCGAGCGATCCGCGCCAGGTGGGTTCAAAACCCTAAACCCTAAACCCTAAACCCTGAACAGACAACGCTAGACAAACCTAAATAATTGTAAACCCTAAAGGAGTTAATTGAATGAATCTGCAGGCTAAAGACAGGACCGCACTCTATGACACAAGCAGAGAAGGAGGTGTACGACGAAATTCTGGCCTCTCATAAACACAGCGAGCAGACAGCAGAAGAAGCAGCAGCAGCAGCAGAAACAACAGAAGCAGCAGCAGCAGGAGCAGCAGCAGAAGTAGCAGCAACAACAACAGCAACAACAGCAGCAGAGGGTGATAGAAGCAGCAATGGCTTGACTCATCATCAAAATAGCTGAGGGACACCTCGTCGATATACAAGCAGCAGCAGCCTCTGCTGCTGCATCCCAGCAGCAGCAGCAGCAGAAGCTGCAGCAGAAGCATAGCAGGAGGAGCTAGGCTCTGCATCAGATACTGGACGCATCTTTAACTCAAGTCGGACGGAGGCAGGGGGGGAGACAGGAAGAAATTGCTGCTGCTGTTGCAGCTGTTGCTGCTGCTGTTGCTGCTGTTGCTGCTGTTGCTGCTGTTGCTGCTGCTGAGATGAGACAGACAAAAGGAGACAGCAGCATCGGATGCAGAAGAGGGAAGAACAAGCAAGTAAATAATATTATAAAACTGCTGCATGCAAAGAAGCAACAGGCCCCAAAGATGTTGCTGCAGCACAAACTGTGGTGTATATACACTCTACTCTTTGACCCTGCACTGCTGCTTCTTTTTATTTCTGTCATTTCTTTTTCTTCTTTATTTCCTCTTTGTTTTCTCTTCATGCACTTCAGCTGGAGGAGGGAGCCTGAGTGTTGGGGTGTACATACACCAGAAACGTTTGCTGCTTTTTATATATTGCTGCTGTCTCTGCTTTCTAGGGTAGCGAAGGAAGTGCATGCGTTTTTCTTTGTTTTGTTTTTCTCTTTTTCTGCTAACTGCACAGAGGCGACAGAGCGCCGACCCTCCTGCTCTCCTCCTAACAAAGAACCACATGCAGCAGTAGCAGCAGCAGCAGCAACAACAACAGCAGAAGCAAAACGAGTACAAGCAGCAGCAGCAGCAGCAAGAGCAGAAGCAGTGCAAGCAGCAGCAGAAGCAGCAGTAGGAGTTGAAGCTGTGCTGCTGAGGATTAGCGATTTATGCAGCAGAACAGCTGGCTGGTTGGCTGCACATACACCGCAGGAGGGCCTGTTGGAGCAGCAGCAGCAGCAGCAACAGCAGCAGCTGCTGCAGCAACAGCTGCTGCTTCTGCGTATGGCCCCTCCAGATCTTGCTGCAAATATTCGCTTCGCTTGGTTTTGCTGCGCTGCAGCAAAAGCAATAACAACACCGAGCAATAACAATTCCGCAGATGCATGCATGCATTGTATGCATGCATGCATGCAGTGCATGCATTCGTGTAGTAGAGCTGTTTATGTCTGCATGCATTTGTTCCTGCATCTCTGCATGCAGATTCAGCAATACTAAAAGCAGTAAATAGGAGTATTAGGATATTCATAATTAACAAGAGGGTGAGGGTTAGTTGAGGCTGTCTCGTCTATCGTATGCTTCTTTTCTTCTGTCTCTCTTCTTCTTTTTCTTTTTAGCTAGCAGTTTGTTTGTTTGTTTTGTGGTTTTTGTTTGTAATCAAACGATGCCTCGAGGTGTTGAGTGGCTGAGCTGTACGTACAGCTGAGCGCGCTCACCG